CCACAGACACAGACACTAATCGTTACTTGATTTTAATCCGTGCGATTAGTTAACCAGGCTAGACCTGAGTTCTCACAAGAAACACCGACCATAATAATACATAAACATAGTACCACTTGTGATATCGGTAACAGGAATCACCAGCAAAAACTTCACGCGTCACCTCAAGACACTCGACCTTAACACTTACACTCACACAAATATGCAGAAAGAAATTATTCTGAAAACATCTTCCATAGTTAGAAAATTTTTACATCAAATACAATAGAAGATCGCACGACTTGGAAACAACCCGTCGTGTAATCATAGATCCGCAACAGCGAGAATAACTTAAAAAATAATAATAATAATAATAATATATTAGATTAAAAGGAGACACACCAATTAATCAAGTCAGTCATAGAGCTTGCAATGAGTAACATATTTTTCTAGTGAATACGGGGTGCAATCAATGAGCAAACGTCTCACAGTTTTTTTAAATAAATGATACGATGTAATCGTTTTGATGTTAGAGGGTAAAACATTGAATAAAGTAGTACCTACCTTTATACAGAACACCTTTTTGATATAAGGATATAAGGCACTATGTTTTTGAACCTTAAGTAAACAGTTTCGTAAAGGGTATTTATGATTTGCAACGTCGGTTGTAAAGTAACATCGATTACAGTATACGAAGCAGAGGATTGTATACACATAAATACCATACAAGGTCAGCATACCTTGTTCTTTGAAAATTGGTTTGCAACTGTCTCGGTACATTGCATTGTGTATAATTCTAATCGCTCTTTTTTGTAATAAAAATATTCTGGCTAACCGATTGATTCCACTACCTCCCCAGAACATAATTCCGTATTTAAGAGTGGAATAAAAATATCCATAGTACATATTTTTTAGTATGTCTGTGCTACAATGCGATGAAGCTACTTTGAGTGCATAACATAGTTTAGATAACTTAGAACAAAGGAAGTCGATCTGTGTAGACCAATTTAACAATTGATCAAAATACAAACCTAATAATTTGCAATTATCAGTTGCGTTGACAAGTAACTCGTTAAGCGGTAGTGCCTCTATGGAACCGATTTTAGAACGTAGAGATCGAAACAGTATAAAAGCTGTTTTCTCTTTATTGACCGTAAGTCCGTTTAATTCTGCCCAGTCTAAAATTGTTTTGTATAATGCACATAGTTTATGTCTAATATGTTCTATAGTAGTACCTGTAACTAGGAAGTTAGAGTCGTCAGCATAAGATACAATGGTGGTGTTGTTATCAACCTTTTGAACATAATTATGAAGGTCATTTATGAAAATTAAAAACAAGGTGGGACCAAGTATAGAACCTTGTGGTACCCCACTGTTGATAGGAGATTCATCTGAATATATTTGCACACATTCTTTGGTATGCACAACCTTTTGAGACCTACATGACAAATACGAAGCATACCAGTTTATAGATACACCTCGTATACCATAATTATAAAGTTTCGACAGCAGCAAGTCGTGATTTACGTTATCAAAGGCTTTACTAAGATCAATGAAGAGCCCGGCTGCTAGCCGACCTTCATCTAAAGCTCTCAAAATGGTGTCAGTAAAAATTACAAAAGCTGTGTCTACTGAGCGACCTTTAAGGTATGCATGTTGGCTAGTCGCGAACAATTTATATTTGTTAAAGAAATTGATTAACTTCTCGTTCATTGAGCGCTCTAAAACCTTAGAAAGAGCAGATAATAAACTAATCGGTCGATAATTTCCCAACGTGTTTGGATCTCCCTTTTTAAAGAGTGGCACTACAGTAGCCTTTTTTAGTTCTGACGGAAATATGCCAGTTGAAAACGAAAGATTAATAATGTGGACAACAGGTTTGATGATTGTAGTAATAATCTTTTTTAATAAAAAATTAGAAATATGATCATCACTAGTAGAGTGACTGTTATTCAACTTTTTAACAGCCTGCAACACATCGTATTCATTAACCTCAGTTAAGAAGAAAGATTGTTGACATGAAGTAACATACTTGTTTATATAGTCCAGGTGTGAACTGTTACGCTGAAATGAATCTGAAGTTTTCACAGATTTGTTTAAATAGGAAAAAAAAAGTTTTTTAAGAATCTTTTTTGAAATCTTTGAAATTTCCAAAAATCTTTCCAAAAATTATGTTGGAAATCGTCCTAATTTATCGGTAATTTCTTAGAAGTGCGTTGTGCAATCTTACGAGAAACATAATCTGGCTCCTCTCAAGTTTCTGGTTTTGGGCATAGTATTGCAAACACCCTGTAGAATATTACATTTAATTAAAGTGTGTGTACTAATCACGAGAATCACCTATGTTTTGTATATATGTTTAATAAGAAAGGTGTTGTGGTACTAGAAGGCTTACAATCCAAAATTATTTTTTAAGCGTACAGGGTGTTCATAAACGTCGTGTGTATGTCAACATGGATTTTTCAATGGAACACCCTATAGATTTACCAACGCTTTTGTCCACCTGGTACCTACCATTTGATTCTTTCCGAGATTCTTTCGGTAATGTAATAGAATAGCAATTTAAAAGATTTTTGAAGGGTTACGCTCTGAGAATTCCAGTAGCAGAATTTAAGAAATTACACAGTATTTGTGAGAAATCCACGAAAATTTCGGATGTTTTAAAATTTTAATTTACATACATTTCAAATATACAGGATGTATATTAGCTATAGCAGCTGTAGCTATATACGGGGTGTTTGTAATCGTTTATTTGACATTAAACATACAGGGGGTAATGATAGTTACACACAGGGTGTTGGTGGTCGGCCATTTTGCTCTGGATGTCATAATGGTGGTAAGTTCTCATACATTCTGCTCCGATGTTTAAAAAAATGTTGAGTGTCAAATAGCCAAACCCACGAAAGAAATTAATAAATCCATTAAAAAAACTGGAAAATTATAGGATGAACGCACTTTGTATATTTGGAATAGCAAAAACAAACAATGAGTAAAAATCTACGAAATTTTGACACATTTAGGACCTATATTTTGAAGATTTTCTGAAGAAAAAAATTTTTCAGAAAATTTTGAGAAACAGAGGTGGATTTGAAAGATATAAATACTTCGGAATTCTCAGATGTAGAAAAATTCACTTTTTTAGATGTCAAGAATATTTCAATTAGCGTAAAGTTAAACTATAAAAAAATTTAGACGAATAAAACCTTATTTAAAACATTCAAACTTCATAACTAAACAAATGAAAACTAAAAAAAAAATGTGCAACATTTTTGAAAAATACAAAATTTTACAAAATCGAATAGTTTTCGGAAATTCTAAACGGGACAAAAACAAAACTGGACTGGAAATTTTGAAAAATAGTGGAATTTTAAAAAATAGCAAAAAACATTATTTGACCTCCGTTTTGACGTTCAAGAAGAGCGATTTCGGTAAGAATTAAGACCTCAAAAAATTTAAAAGCAAGGAAAAATATCAGAATGGAGTCAAAGATAAGAAACGCAAGAGACGTTTTTTGTTACTTGTAAAATAATTTTTTTAAGTGGTTTAAAAATAATATTAAAAAAATTACTTAAACACAACAAAAATATTCTTTCCCAAATTTCGGAACAATTTTGGAAGGTTCAGAAAGGTTCGATAAGGTTTCATAGATTGAAAATTTCAAAGAACAAAAAATTAGGGAAATGTTCATTTTTAAGAGACAGTATTGGATTATTTAAAACAAAAATTGCTAAGAATTACAGAAAATTAATTTTGAAAAAAAAACTAGCGACTCTAACTTATCAAAAAAAGAAGACATAAATGGCAACGGATATGCATCACATTGGATACTACTGTCTGTGTCAAAAGTATACGTATAGG